GATATAGTTAAGAGAAGAAGAAAGTCTAGCCGGAATAAACTTTTTTACCTAAGCAATAAACTACATGAAAGCAAGCAGAGGAAGCGGAGAGGTACTTGAGAGAATGGAGGGCAGGGGCCCCTAATCGAACGCAAGGAAGAAGAGTGGGTTCCCCTAAGTAGTTGGAGGCGTCTTCTTTGAACTCAAAAACAATTTCACTTGAATTCTTCCTGTGAGTGAATCCTATCAACTAGACTCTTCCGAAATTGCGTAAGTAAAGAGAAAGAGATTCGCTCCTTCTGTTCCCGACAGGGCATCAATTTGGAACTGGAATTATCCACAGCAGATCCGAAAGCTTTAGAATTTGCCAGAGAACGATGGCCAGCTGAAGGTATGGATGAAAGAAAGAAAAAAGCTTTTCTTCTTTCAGTGAAGCTTAAGCTGTCTTGTCTTTATGTGCATTCCTTTTATTTAAGACAGCCTGCCAGCCAGGGGAAGGATCTCAAGTCCGAGTGGAAGGCTATCCCACAATCCTTCATGAAAACCCTCTTTAAAGCCTATATCGCGTCGTTTAAGGCACAGTAACCGTCTTCCATGTTAGATTCATCGTTGGACCTTGTTACCGTGCCGAAAAAGACGTTATAGCGACCATCCTGGGCCTTCCACGATTGTTGACCTGTCTCGGACCGGGGAAGACGTTCTTCAAGACAGGACATACGGTACAGAAAGGATCATCTAAGGATCTTGTCTGGACGGAGATGTGTCTTTCCTAAGCAAGACGGTAAAAAAACAATAAAGACTTTTAAGAATACATAAGACCTTCTTAGGAAAGTCTCTATCCTTCTCTTACAGTCAATCATTCCTAAAGTCAAGACATTGAAGACAGTAAAGGGGAATCTGCTATCTGATTGCCCTGTAGGCCCCATCTCCATTAAAGTATTAGCCAGTGCTTCTTTCCGCCGATTAGATCTGTGGAATCCAACCTTAAAGGGAAACTCCACTCTATGAATCCTATAAGAAGAGAGGTTGCCCGGGACAGGGAGAACCTTTCCGGCAATACAGATTCCATATCCAAAATGCTCGGAAGGAACCTTCGATATCCAATCCCACGTGGAACCTGCCCTAAGAGCGGTTTTCGAGACAAAAACTGGTCATTCTGTGGATCCGAGATAGAACTCCGGTCCTGCAACTCCTTCCCTTGATAGCCTTGAGTTGTTGGTTACACCGCACCGGAAAAGCACTCTCTGGGAAATCCGGATCTTTCTCAGCAGGGACAGTACCAAGGATATCAGGGTTAGATAGCTTTTTTTTCTCTGGCAGTCTAAAATCTTTCCAATCAATCGGGAAAGCCTATACCCGAAAGAGGGAAACCTTCTGTTTGCTTGCCATTGCAATATCGGAAACCGCAGGAAAGAAAGCCCCGGCCTGGTATTTTATTTTGACCGGCAGAAGCTGAACCCGAACCAAACCCTAAGCAAAGAAGGGATGTGCCTTAGTTCAGTCTCGAGGACGGGATAATAGGGGCGTAGCACCGAATATGTCGGAGTAGTCCCACCCAGTAGATGGACAAGCCAGTAGTACCAATCAAGGAAGCCTTGAACTCTAGAGCTTTCTTTCCTGATGGGGACTAAGAAAAGGAGACGAATATAGCTAAACAGCTGCAGCAGAAAGAACGAAAAGCCAAAAGTCAAGGTGCATAGCGGTCTTTTCAAGAATAGGGGAGTACAGAATAAGGGGTTTGCAAGACAAAAGAGAATCCGCTGGAACTACGGACAAGGATATTTTACTCAATTCCCCTCTTACTATTTTAAAAAGCGGAAGAAAATGAAATTCCACCAGTGTGTATGTAAGACAACCTTAATTCTCTATGTTCAACGCTTTGGGCAAGCCAGAGCAAGACTTCTCTGTGGGAATACCCGGCTATCTCCTACTTTAAATAGAGAAAATCCCTGGAATTCTCTGATGCCGGGGATTATGTCTAAAAAACTTCGTATTGCGATCTCCGCTGACGATCGTTCTTTTCTTTTCATAAGATCTATTCTTGGGCTAGAGCGTTAATATAGCTTTTCTCTTTTATATGGGATAGGGCTTTGGAGAACTCCTAGAATGGGATTCCCCTTATGTGATATCCTAACTAGTACCAGTCTAACTAAGAGTCATCTGCTAGGCCAGCTTCCTGTGAGTAAGCCAGTGCTAAAGAAGAGGGCTAAGGAAAAGCTAAAAATTCATTGGGATAGATGCAGCGCCAATTAATTTCCGCCAATTTCCGCGGTGAGTGCTAAGTACTTCGATTAAGAGTTTGCAGGATTTCTAGAATAGGAATAGGCTTTTTCTTTAGAGTAAGACTCTTTGCTTGCTTCTTTCGGCCAGCTCAGCGGATGAGTGGCCGTATTCGACACCTCTTTCTCTTACGGCTAGTGCGCTATTTGAGATAGTTGAAAAGGGGTGTAGCGATAGAAAGTTTTGAATCAATAATTCCTCAAAAGTCATTGCTAGTACGTTTAATACAGTTACTGCTATACCTTAGGCCTCAATTAGCAGTCGTAAGGCCGACATGTCTTCATCCCGAAATAAGTAGATGCGGAATCTCGTCTGTTTGAAAGGTAACTTGAATTAGCAGTCGGACTGTGAACCATTGTCACTCGTTAGGCCTCCCAATATAATTGATTTGAAGGAGTGAAAGCCACTTGACTGTAAGGAGAGGAGCTCCAGCCACTCTACTTCCACCGTCGTGTAGCCCTGCGGATAATTCGAATACCGGAACATCCTTCCATCCCTCATTCAATCTGATCTACCGGCTCTAAGACCGACTCAATGGGAGGAATCAGATCAATCTTAGGGCTTTGCTTTCAGCGCCTCGAAGACTCAATAGCAATTCCATCTCGTCTTTCCGGATCAATAGCCCCAATCCCCATCTTTTCAAAACATGTCTTTTACGGGTAGGTCGAAACATCTCCATCCTTTTCGTTCGGTGTCATATCCTACGAATATGCGCCGAAGAACCTTCGTCCTCTTTGTTCCTTCGACATCTTCTACCCCGAAGCATTGAAATAGCACAGTAAGCGGACCACCTACAGGGAAATCCTTATACCACTATCAAGCCATACCGGGCAATGAGGCTGATGCTACTACCGAGACAGAGAAAGACAAGGACTTTCTTTCTATCGATGTGAAATCCATTCTATTTCTCTGATGCGCATGTCGTCCGATCAGTCTACTCTGCTTTAGTATGCGCTAGGGAAAAAAGCGGAGCTCCTTCTTGTTGTGCCCGATCCCCAAAGCATTGAAAAAGATAAGGGGGAACTTACCTAGTGAGAAGTCTTACCATGGGAGTTTATACCTCTATTGGCAATCCCTCTTAAGCAGTGGTGTCCGGTCACCAAGAAATTCTATTGATTCCGTTCAGCGAAAGGGAAGTTGTCCTTCTATCACGAGTTTTATACCCCCCCCCCGGGGATCATCCAGGTCAATCTGCATGAGTTTTGCTGTTCATACATGAGCCATAGAAGCAAGCTGCCTGCCTAAAATAAGGCTTTGTGAATAAGCAGTTCCATAAGCTCCAGTTACAATTCGCTGACCGAGTAGCTACAACTTCAAGAGGGGAATTCGCGTAAAAGTGGGCTTTTGTTTTTGCTTCCTCGAACGGGTGGAGAAAGATTTTTATTACCCTTTATTCCAGGGGAAGGGAGTTGGTTTATAACCAGACTCTGAAGTTTTCTACTAGGTAGAGTATTTCAAAAAAATAAGCTAGAATAGAGGGCGTGATAGTCCAATTCTACATAGTTCTGTGATCCGCCGAACGAAGTGGTTCCAACGAACCGGACCGGGAGAGAGAAAGAATTCTTTTTTCAAGGCTGCCGGTGGGCTGGGCCCGAGCTCGGTTTGGAAGGAAGCCTCTTTAGATGAGAAGGAGGATGCTACCAAGGCGAGAAGGAAGAAGGGGAGTTCCACTATCTGAGTTAGGCCGATATCATTAGATAGGTAGGCTGATCTCCGCTTTTGGATTCCTATTAAGGGCAAGAGTGAGACTTGTCTATTCCTACTAAAGGAAAGAGAAGAAGATCACGGCTCCTCTGCTTACAGTCAAGTGGCTTTCAGCTCCTCTCCCGGACCTATTGATCGAGGAGCTCGGGAATGGAGCAAAAGAAAGACGAGTTAGAGAACGGATGTAAGTCAATTCTGACCCTGCTAGGGAAAGGAAGCAAACTCTTGCTCGACGTAGGGTAGAGTAACTATTTTCAAAGCCTGGCCTTTCTGCCCCAAGGCAAGCATTCCAACCAAGCCAAGCAGCTATAGATCTTGAGCGTCTTGCAAGGGCATCTGCTTGTCTATTTTTTTTCTTGGGACATGCTCTATGGTCACATCACCAAGCCACCCAATAAGCCTTTTTGTTTGCGTAATTATAGTATGGAATCAATTCAGGTCAGGCTTTTTAACTGAATAATTACCAAGGAGTTGATTGATCACCAATTTAAAATCTCCATAAGAGTTGCAACTCTTTCAAATCCACAGCCATCTCAAGTCAAGTATGAGGGCTTGGTACTCTGCGAGATTATTGGAACAAGGTTTCGACAAGGTGAAGGAGTGCGGCAGCACTTCTCCTTCAGAAGTAAGAAAGAGGACTCCAGCTCCATCTTGATGAGCAGCACCATCAAAGTACATCTTCCATGGTGGAAGAATTTCGACCACAAGCACATCTTCATCAAGTCGTCAAACAATTCCCATTCAGCAGGTATTGGGTCAAAGAACTAGGAAATTCTTTTCTTTCTTCTTTTGCTTTTTTGTGGGGGACTTATTAAAGGAAGGTTTCAACCTGGCATAAGCTAAGGTACCCCGCTCATTAGTCACTTCCCCTGCATGGTCAACTCTTGCCGGGTTAATGTATTTGAATTAATCATATATTCATTCTTACGCGTAGAGATACCTATTTATAGTGGTTTGTTCCTGCATCAATAGTAGCTTGAAGCTATAGTTTAAGAGAAGTGACAAGATCATCAAAAAAGGGAGGCACTCAAGCTTGACTATACGATTGGTAGGAAAGATTTTAGACTTGAGCATACGCCTTCTTCCTCTATGGATAGGGCGACGTGACACGCAATGGATCGGTTAGAAAGGAGAACAAATTGATCACATGTCCCCTTCTCAACAACCTTTCCCGCATCAGTAGATAGAGTAGATTTCCTATCCTTGGTCAACCTAAGGATTTTCTTCTCTCTATATTTAGTTACCACCGACCCGAGCCTATGCGAAGCAAGCCTACACCCTAGACTGGCTCCAGGCCAAAGTGATGAAAAGGCGAACGGTCGTATATCGTAATATAATATAAAAAGGTCCATGAGAGAAAGCCTAGCCCTATCTTAACCTTATGATCCTAGTCAGCTCGTCTCTGTCTTGAGGCCAATAACCAGTGACTCTTTTGTTAACCACATGTAGAATATCTTGTGTAGTCGGGTAGGATAACTAGAATATATCTTTCCTTTAGTGTGTAACCGATTTATATATGTTAAGCTCCCCTTTTTTTCTCTCCTTTGCTTTTCTTTTGCCCCTCTTTAAAGTAAAGCTGCTTCTTAGAGTTGGCTTTTGCAATTGCAATCTGTCTCTGTCTGGCTCCTCGCTTTGAACTCAAATAAGACCTTCTTTTGGTCGAGTGACTTCGTTCCTGGTCTTCCTATTCCCTTCGCTTTCCCAGCCGCTGCCTCTAAGGCCCAAGTACTTTTTTTGTTTGATCAAATGATTGATTTAGATTTGAAATTCCTCTTTACCAAGGGAAGAGAGCGTGGATCAGGTGTCCTCTTGGATGTTCCAAACCACCATCTTGGACTTCCAGCATTTGCTTCAGACAGAAAGTTTGGGACTCAAAGTGTGCCCTCATGAGGCAGGGAAAAACAAAAAAATGTGTCTTTTACGTAACTTGGATAGCTGAGTGGTCAATCCTGCACCAATCGTTGATGAGTTGTCTCGCTCGAAAGNTATAACCTGCCCCCCGAACTCGGTATCCATTCTGCCTGATGTTTCACTCCTCCGAAAGGNTATTGAAACAAGTCCTGATCCGAGACTTCTCTTAAGGGAAAACCTTAAAAACTTATTTCGAGCAGGGTCCTCTGCTGGCATATTCATTCTTTTTATTTATTATATTATGTATGGCGTTTCCAAGTTGATGTTTTTTTTAGCACGCGTGCCTCCGTCCCAAAAAAAGATGTATATTCCGGACATTTTGTCGTGGGTGCTACTAGAAAAAATTGTTATCCGACCGATGGATTCCCCGGTTTTTGGATTTTCATTTCTTTATGTAAAAAAGAGTTGGATCAAAGGCCTCGTCTCTGTACCCTTCCGTAGAGGAGGGGCCTTCAAGCGTACAAAGTGTTAAGAAAGATTGGATGTTGCTTAGTCGCTGCTCACGCACGGAGCTCGCCGCTGAAGCGTTAAATGTGCTTCTATTTAGCAAATAGAGTTTGACTGAGATAAAACAGAATCAAAAGGAGCTCTGGCCCGCAACGAAACTAAAATGAAATTAGTTGGAGACAGATTCAGTGGGGCACCCCCCTTATAGCAGGTATGCAACCAACCCTTCTTCTGAAGACTATCTATAAGTAGTATTCAAAAGAAGAAATTGAGGTTTGATACCATTTGTGTTCAAAATAGGATACCTCCTAGGTCATTTCTTTTCTCCCCTTCTGCTGTTATAGCTTCAACTTCTTTCTAATAGCTGCTTGCTTGGCTTCAAAGCCTTACCATCCCTTCGCCGCCTCCACAGAAAGATTGGTCACTTTCTTTTTTTTGGATTAGTCTCTTAACTCAAATTCTCTCTAAAACGGTACAACAGACGGCGCAGCGCTGCCTACGCGCTAATTAGCTTCCGATGTATTCTCTGGCATTGATTTGATTAAAGGAAAGGTAAAGCCTTCACTTCAAGCTTTGAAGCTAAGTTCGCTATTCGGTCAATGATAGGCTTTAGGCCTTACCTTACTCTTTAGGGGTTTACTCTTCTACTTAAGTTCCTAGCTAGGCTGATGCCTTTGCCGAGTCTTAAACTCCGACTCCTAAACTCAAAACTGGCCGGAAATGCCCATTTTGAGCTCGCTCAGGCGGATGTTCCCGCTGATCTTGACTTTACAAATAGTCAGCTTCTGTCTTTCCATACGGAGTCTGGCACTTTTCTTGTCTGTTTTGTCTTTATGTGGCCGGTCTTTCTTTCCCTTTTTCTGATCGAAAGATCTTTTTTGACGCGCTATCGCTATAAAGGTTACAACCTAGGCATTCAAAAGGAGGGTTATTACATAAAAAAATCACATAAGTGATTAGAGCGATGCCCCCTTGCTTTGGAAAGAGTTGACTTCTTCCTGTGCAGGATAGCCACTGACTCTTCCGATTAATTAAGATATAGGGAAAGGCCAACGCGTCAAAGTAAAGTCAGGTTCAGCAATCGACGTAACTGGTTCAAATACCAGAAGTTAGGTCATAGAAGGTAGATTAGATTCGACAATCTTAAGTAGTGGAGTCGGCCCTTAGCCGAGATACGATACTGTCAGCTAATCACTAGCTTTTGATAGAATAATATCGTAAAGTCGGAGAGGAAGAAGAATGCCATCATAGAGGGATCAGCGTGTAAACTTGAAGGGCTAGGGAACTCCTTTAGCTCAATAATGAAAGTTAGGGTCGATCGGAGGAGGCCTTACCTTTTAGATGACCCAAGCAAGTCATTAAGCTATTGGATGGATCCTCCTAACTGTAGTTACTTAAGGTCGAGTAGTAGACGGGTGAGGCCCACAGTTCTAATAGGTTTTCACTTGAGCTTTCCGCAGCAAAGCAAGTCTACAAGCCACTGCAGTGAGGTTATAGGTCTGATTTCTTTCTCGTATTGAGATCTTAGAATGCTATACGCAGCCCCCCTGCAAGGTTACTTTAGATAGCGGTATTTTCTGTATAAGATTGGCATCCCCATTCTAAGGTTACTTAGTACTTAGGTCGTGAGTTCCGCTCTTAGTAGCCTTTATTCCCATCCCGCGTAAGAACATAGGTTTTTTTCCCTCAGTTTCTGCTCTCCTTGCTTTAACTAAAGAACTACCTTTCACTTTAAGTAGGACTCTAAGAGCTCTACCTTAGAATGAGTTAGATTTCCTGTGTTAACAAGAAGGAATGGCGGGACGCTAAAGAGATGGCTATGAGACTAGTGCAATCAGGTAATCGACCAAGTAATCCACATACATGATAAAAGAGCATTCCAGCCCTAGTGTACTTATCCACTGGCATTGAAGGAGAAGAATGACAAGGTCTGCTTCCACAGTAAGGATTGCCGCTTAGTCCAATCCAAGAGCAAACAAGGGACGCCTCATTAAGCAAGAACCCGAGCTAAGAGCGGGGCAGTTCTATTAAGGTATAGAGAAAGCTCCAAGCAGCTACCATTGATCAACCTTATTCAGGCACATCAATCAAAGATCTTGCTTACCGGATAACTTTCCTGGTGAAGGAGAGAAAGTTTGACAAGCTAAGAAAGTCTCGTTGAAAGCAGGAACTCAGACTGTGACGACTATTTTCACTAGTTTCAAAGGCTTGATTGACCCTTGGGATTGAATCTGGCTAGGGGGTGCCCTCGTAAAGACTAAAACCTCGTTACGCCGAAAATAGTAGAGGTGCGACAGCGCTTTGGTAGTGAGTGGAAACTTACTTTCTGTCTGGTTAGTAGGAATTTCTTGCCTGCTAAGGGATTAGTCCAAGTTAGACCGAGAAGTAAGAGTTTGTAATTGAAGTCGGGGGGGCTGAATAGAAAAATTCTCTTCCCACGTAGCGCTAAGAAGCAAGTTCCGACAGCCTATGATGAAATAGCACAAAAAAAAAAAGGGCTACGCGAATAATAGTGTTAGTAGTTCGTGAGGCTAATTTTGAGCTAGATAGTGGATTGATGTTCACTGTAGCACTATCTGACCTTGAAGGTTAAGTTAGTGTACCATGAACTCCATCCCACATATTTTGGATGCTGTGGCATCAGTTATCTAGCTACATTCTATTACCGGTTGACACCATTTTGGAAAACTTTTATTCCGGTTACTGCTTGTTAAATTCCGTTAGGTTCTTTGTCAAATACTAACTGATTTTAATCCATATTCTTTTTTAGTGTAACTTTGGTTGTTCTTTCCTTCGAGCTAAGATAGACCCTATCAAAAACTAGTTCCAGAAGCATCTTCCATTCATCTCGACCTAGACTGATCTTTGTTCTGATGATGATAAACCATCATCAATTTGTATAGTATATATACCCCCAAGCCCTCTTTTTGTACCATTTTTTTCTTTCTAAAAGAGGGCCTGGAACTGGGCTCTCTTCACAGCCCCTAAAGGCGTTAGGAAGAGATTTAATCAGCCAGCGTAATAACTTCAATCGATAGAAAAATCTATCAAGACCTAAAACAAAGAATACCATCTCCCAGGGAGTCTTTTTATTTTGCATATCTCGAGTTTAGAATTCTCCTCACGCTTTTTCCATCACGATTTTCTCTTCGAGAACACTCGCCTCGTCGATTCTTCCCCTCGTTCCTTTTATCTTGGACATTGAGATGTTTATGCAAAGCATTCTTTTCTACCCTATGTAGGCGACACAAGCTACGGAGCTGTAGACTTAAGACCTAAGGATATTTCTTTGACGGGTGATCGGGTCTTAGAATCCTCAGGAAAGTGTAAGCACCTGTATACAATTTCTATTTTGCTTTCTATATATAGATATGGCTTTCTCTTGATGGAATATACCAAGCTAAATCTTCTTTTTAGAACCACAACTCAGTGAAGTAGGCGACAACTGCTATTAGGGTCTGTCTTAAGGCATTGGCTCTCTAAAAAAAGGATTTCCTATCGTTGCATGGGTTCCTTTTTGTATAAAACATATTGACTACAAATTGAACTAAAGAAAGAATGTTGACTGTTCGACAACGTGAAGACTGCAATCTCGACTTAGAATAATCAAACGCCCATCACGAGTCACATGGGCACCCCCACCAGGTAGAATAGTTGTGATATCCCCATCAAGATCTAACTCTAAGAGGATACTATTCATTTCTTCTTTACACTGCTGCTCGCTTTGGAGACTAAACAATGGAAATAATACGTAACAGTCAGCCAAGTAACGATAATAAGAAAGACTAGGGTATAGCTGTTTAAATCCCCGGTCGAAATCATCCAACATAAAATTGTATAAGACCTTAGTGATTAACCCAGCGTGTGGGATCCCTACTTCCGTAATAGAACAATTAATTCCATTTTGGTCATAAACTGGTATCTTTAAAAAGGATGAAACAAAGGATATTACGTAGCTATCACGCACCAAGGGTGCCAGCTTTCGTAAAATTCTTTTATGAGGAATAGTACCTTGTGAGGGTGCTAGATTCAAGATGAAAATAGTTCTAATCTTCCCCACTCCACCTAATTTGGCAAAGAACTCACGGCGATCTCTGGGAAAACCACACGACTGCTCCTGAAAGATAGATGAACGCATAAAACAACTATTCAACATATGCGCCAGAGCGATTAAAACGAGAGCGTCCCTTTCACCGGGACAAACAACCCATTTATGATCAGGGTCCCCTGGCTGACATAAAGTTTCAACATAAAAAAAAATCGCCTCGTCTTTGGGAATACTTAATAACTTAAGTGGGGACAATGCATACTTCTCTTCTGAGATAAGAATGATTATATCACATACGCTTAAAGGGGGCAACGAAAATAGATCACCAAGTTTAGCATAGACATATAATATTGACCGGGCAAGTTGCTGTGCGGAGCATGAATAAGGTGGATTTTTCCGTGGGTCCTCGCCATCTGAATCAATTCTGAACGAACAGTATCTCTATCTGGCTTTGTTATTATTACAGTGTTATCTGCACCCAGCCAGTAAGTAGAGATATGGAGAGAGGGGACAGCTTTGTCGCGGACCTTTCTTTGGTTTCTTTTATGAACTCCACTGGTCGTCCATGGATTATAGGGGCTTTCCATTGTATATAAATAAACTTTCGTATCCTACTCTGCAAATCCCATTTTCCTTAAGCATATAGAAACCTATGATTCAAATTTGCATATGCTGCTGGTTTGGTGAGTTTAGTGATCATGGCTGGCTCACCTGATCTATCAGCTGAGTAGTAAGCCTCCTTGGGATAATTATCAATATCTCTTCCTATCAAAATGAGATTAGGAGGGCGCCCTTTTTAAAGAGCCAGCCTGTCTTTCAATAGAAACTATTGGCAATTACCTTAGTCATTCTCTTATCTAGTGTAGTCCCCATAGCAATGGGCCTCGGTCTAGTGAGGTTTTGCTTTTTTGGGAATCATTGCTAGGAATAAGGATTGAATTGCACCTGGTTTGCTCCTGTTTGACTTCAATTACCATATGGAAATGGAGATCGTCCAACATTATGTTCCAGCACTGCCCCTGAATTAATCAACCAAGTAGAAGTTGAAGTTCAGTTGGAATCCATATAGTCTAGTAGTTTTTTACTATGAATAGCCCCCTATTGTTGATAGAGAGCTTACCGCCCCGCCCTTTATAGTCGCGACTGTTGTCATGGAAAAAGAGTTTGTTTTCTGTCAAAGAAGCATGCTTAACACAGCCTATAGCATAAAGGCATTCGAGCCGCGTCTAAACTAAATGTTGGGCAAGGGCCCGTACTCTCTCTTCTGTGGATACGCTATCCCTTCCGGCTATGGTATGGGGAAGGGGAGGTGAGATCTACTCATTGATTTTATATTAGATGAGCGGCCGTACTATGATCGTTCGGGAGACATGGGCCCACGCGCTACACACAAGAATGAATTGTTATGCGGTCGGTAAACTCTTTCCTTTCTGCGGGCAGCCTATCAAATCGGATCACGTATTTTTGAATATGTCGTTACATCATGTACATGTATTCGGTTTTCCATTTTTTTTTATGTTCCTGCTCGTGCCCGGATAGAGAATGGGCACGACTCCCCCTCTCCCCGTTCTACCGTCCAAACAGGCCGGCCGTTCTAAGTTCCGGGGTTGGGTCGGATAGGACCAGATCCAATCGGATCTGATCGTAGCTTCGAGTTCAGGTGCCGTACTGCGGCCGGACCGGAAAGGAGGGGGACAGCGAACCTCCTGCCAAGAGGCCAAGGTTGCTTGCTAACTCTCAGCCACTTGTTAGAAGGAAGTGCAGCTTGATTGTCGGGGGGAATCAACGAGAAGGAAAAAATAAGGTAGATTATTCTATTTCCTCCTTTGGTAAGGATTGGCTTTTTGTTCAAGGGTATGTTAAAAACCATCGTCTTTTCTTTGTTTGTATCACCGAGACACCCGAAGGGCCGGCCATATGTACCTCGGGAGCCCCGGCCCATTCAAATAAAAATAGAACGAGCACCTACGACTAAGGGGAATGGAATGTCGACCACAGGGTGAGAGAATCTTATAATACGAGGGCTAGTGACTGGTCAAGTCATTAAACTTAGTCATTTTGATCAACATGGCTGCAAGTGGACTGGGTTTATGGGTTTAAACTGACTACGACCAAAGTCGTGGCTACTTCA